AGTGCACCATCCCCACCGTAAACTATGTTGATAGTGAACACCCCCCACCCACCCCACCCCCGAGATGGTGAACCACAATCGTCTCGAAGCGGAATGAAAGTCTTTTTCAAGGCCTCTTCGCACTCCTCCCACGCCTGATTTTTTTTGACTCGGCGACTACCCGAGCCGCAATCCGCTTGGATTGCCAGTACCTATCAGCTCCTTCCGGAGTCCCACATGCCAAAAAGACCCACTAGGCCTCCTCCTTCAGCCTGACAGCATCCCTCACCGCCGGTGTCCACCAGCGGGTTTGAAGGTTGCCTCCACGACAGACACCAACAATCTTGCGGAAACAGCTTAGGTAAGCCACCTTGACAATGGAGACACAGAACATGGTCCACTCGGAGTCAGTGTCTGGATGTGTGAGTTGAAGCTCCATCTGACGGGAGACTCCGCAAGACGTTCCCAGCAGACCCTCACTATACGTTTGGGTCTGCCAGGTCTGACCGGCATCCTCCCCCACCATCGGAGCCAACTCACCACCAGGTAGTGGTCAGTTGACAGCTTTGCCCCTCTCTTCACCCGAGTTTCTAAGACATGTAGCCGCAGATCAGATGAGATGACAACAAAGTTGATCATCGAACTGCAGCCTAGAGTGTCCTGGTGCCAAGAGCAGAAACGGACACCCTTATGTTTGAACATGGTGTTCATTATGGACAATCCATGACAAGCACAGAAGTCCAATAACAAAACACAGCTTTGGTTCAGATCAGGGGGACTGCTCTGCACGGCGCCTCTTAGCATGGGCAACTCCAGAGTGGAAGCGTGTCCAACCCCTCTCGAGGAGACTGGTTCCAGAGCCAGAACGGTGCGTGAAGGTGAATCCGACTATATCTAGTTGGAACTTCTCAACCTCACACACCAGCTCAGGCTCCTTCCCCACCAGAGAGGTGATATTCCACGTCCCTAGAGTCAGCTTCTGTAGCCGAGGATCAGACCGCCAGGGTCCCCGCCTTCGACCACTGCCCTTTACACATTGCACCCAACCTGTATGGCCCCTCCCACAGGTGGTGAGCCCATGGGAAGAGGGACCCACATCTCCTTTTCAGGCTCTGCCCAGCTGGACTCCATGGGGGAAAGCCCGGCCACCAGGCGCTTGCCAACATGCCCCACCTCCAGGCCTGGCTCCAGAGTGGGTCCCTGGTGACCCGCTTCTGGGCGAGGGAACATTGAATTCATCGTTGAAGCTCGTCATGTGGGGTCTTTTGGACTGTACATTGTCTGATCCCTCACCTAGGACCGGTTTGCCTTGGGTGACCCTACCGGGGGCATGAAGTCCCTGACAACATAGCTCCTAGGATCATTGGGACACTCAAACCTGTCCACCATGATAAGGTGCTTCTGTTTCAGTAAATAGTCATAGCCCTGTTTTTTTTTTCAGTTGATAGTCAGAGCCTTGTTTTTGTTTGTTGTGAAAAGCATCAAGCACAAACTTTATGTGAAGCTGGTGTGTGTTTGTCTGTTCTCCATCCTGTCTTTTAAGAGGGTGGAGTGACTTCAGTTCTGGTAAATTATTAAGTTAAAGTAATCCATGAAGGTGCTGATCAGAGGTTGTGTGTTCTCCTAGCTGCACTACTTTAATCTTCTTTATGTGACGCACCATTTTTCCCACAAAGGAAGAGGAAAGAGAGTGACTGTTATGGTCTGAATGAATCATGGCCGGTGGAAATGAGGTTCTGCAGAAGTGCAGATGGTTTCAGACTTAAAGATAAGGCTTCGGCAGCCAAGCATCGCTCTGTTTGTTTAACCTAAAATCATCTTAAAACATTTATTTTTCTCTGGTTCAAAACCAAAGAAGAAAATCTTCACCTGTGAGCTGCAACAACTGGACACATCAACTTCAAGGACTTTAACTTTGAACTAATTATAGATAAAAGACATGATTTGAAATTGTTATTTAAAAGATTCAAAATGTTGAGTAGAAGAAAGTGTTATTGATCTTCACTGATTCCATGGCTGCAATGCAGAAGTCAGAGTTTGTCAATAATTTATGTCTTTATGAAAAGTTTAATTTATTCATAAATAACCTGCAGCCATGCAGAATAAATAAACTGTTTCAGATTAATTCTGAGGTCAGGTTTCTTCAGCTGTCAGACACTTCCTGACTGAATGAGGACAATTGGTTTGAAATATTCTCCACATCTTTGCAAAGACGGCTAGAATCTGCAGAGTCACTGTTTGTCTGTCATGAGGCAGAAAGTTCCGCTGAGCAGCTTTGAGTTTTTCTAGTGTTGATGCAGGAGATCTGATAATCACTGTTAACTTTTATAGACATTGCCTCTGGAAGGGTGGAGCTTGAAGTGTCTGTAGTTTACCCCAGAGGAGGTCCTACCTCCTTCTCTTCCTGGAGGAGTCGTTACACTGTTCCAGGAAAGAGACTGGCCCAGAAGAAGAGTCCAGATGATGTCTTAGAACTCTGGATCCCAGGTGGAAGCAGACAAAGTTGCTCTGCTGCTGACATACTGTATTTCATGCAATAACTTTTCAGAGAGCGTGATGTCACGCTGCAGCTGCCTCGTCTCCTGCCTCCGTCAAGAACTTTTATTACTTTCTTATTGAATCCAGCTCTGCTGCTGTGTTGAACCTAAAACAGCACTGAAGTACACAAACTGCTGCTGGATTAATCTGACCAGAAGTTCTCTCAGAACTCTGTCTTTGGGATGAAAACTTAAAGCTTGTTCTTGTAAACCTGAAAGAAGCAGAACCATGTCAGAACCTCCTGAGCTGCACACAAGAGAAGTGTTGAAAACTTTTACACACACGAGTTAGGTTCGTCATGTATGATCTCTGTGATCTCTCTGCAGACAAACCTCATCTGGACCTGAGAGACCTGGTCCTGTAAGTCCAGACTACAGACAGTAAACCAACTAAAACTCTTTTATTTTACCTACAATAATATTTTGATGTCATTAAAGATAGTTTTAACTGAAACACTTTCAGCTTGTTCAGTGTAGTCAAACTTCATTCAGTTCTTGGATTTTTTTCCTGTTGATCCGTTGGGTTTTTATTAATCCAACTTATATTTTAGTTTAAAAATGCGGTGAAAATCTTAAATTTTCCCCTGAAATAAAGAAAGAAGTCAGCCTTGAACGTTTTGGTTCAGATGTTATTAAAAAGAATTAATTTCATTTGTGATGGCCCTGTGATGAACTTGTGACCTGTCCAGGGTGTACCCCGCCTCTCGCACTGTGACTACTGGATATGGGCACCAGTGACCCCCGTGACCCTGAAAGGAATTAGTAGGTACAGATAATGGATGGATAATTTTATTTGTCTTGATAATTTATTCATGTAACAGCTGAATCTGGTAGTAATAAACTAGTCAGATTTTCAGGGTTTCTGGGTTGTAAAGGTTTAGACTTCGTTTAAACGCGTCTCTAAAGGTTTTAAATGAAATGATAATGTCCATGTCATAATTACTGCAGACATTTTGACAGGTCGTCCTTGTAGGAGTCGGGGCTGCAGGGGAATCAGCAGCTCAGGCATTACCAAGCAAATTGAATTTCAGCTCCTTCATTTTACTCTTTCTCCCAACGTTCCTCATAGAGAACATCCAGACATGCCTCTCTGAATCCGCTTCAAACTGCTGGAACAATTTTTTCTGTTCCAAGGTTAAATAAGAGCAGCAGTGCTGGAGTTGAACTGAGCAGCTCTCTGGAATAAGAGTGTGTGGAGCTTTTCTGAGCCCAACATGTCACAACTGGCTTGAATCATCATGTTGTGATGTTTCATTAGAGGACATGCATTCAGGCTCTTTTTCACATGTTGACCTCACTTCTTAATGAACGTCTGTGAGCTGATCTAAATACAGCAGAACTTCAGAACTGAAGCTTTCTTTGGCCTCATCTTTGTACAGCAGGCTCAGAGTAACAGAAATACAACATATTTTATATGATACTTCACATCTTCTAGCTTTAGATGTTCCTCTGTTTGAACTGAAGTCCTTCACACACTGACTTGAGTGTTTATGTAGTTCTGATCAGGTTCTGAAAGGTGATGGGATTTGTTTCTGCCATCACGGTTTGAACTTATAAGGCTGATGAGGCTGATGCATCAGATTGGGCTCATGGGTCTGACGGGCTCATGGGTCAGACAGGTTAATGGAGCTCATGGGTCAGATGGGGCTCATGGTTCAGATGGGGCTGATGGGGCTCATGGGTCAGATGGGCTGATGGGGCTCATGGGTCAGATGGGGCTCATGGGTCAGATGGGNATGGGTCAGATGGGCTGATGGGGCTCATGGGTCAGATGGGGCTCATGGGTCAGATGGGGCTGATGGGGTTCATGGGTCTGACGGGCTGATGGGGCTCATGGGTCAGATGGGCTGATGGGGCTCATGGGTCAGATGGGGCTCATGGGTCAGATGGGCTGATGGGGCTCATGGGTCAGACTGGCTGATGGTAAATGATAAATGGACTGAACTTATAGAGCACTTTATCAAGTCCCTCTGGACCCCAAAGTGCTTTACACTTACAGACATTCACCCATTCACACACTGATGATGGCAAACTACATTGTAGCCACAGCTGCCCTGGGGCACACTGACAGAGGTGAGGCTGCTATGCACCGGCGCCACCGGACCCTCTGACCACCATCAGTAGGCAAGGCGGGTGAAGTGTCTTACCCAAGGACACAATGACTGAAACGGCTGATGGGGCTCATGGGTCAGATGGGGCTGATGGGGCTCATGGGTCTGACGGGCTGATGGGGCTCATGGGTCAGATGGGGCTGATGGGGCTCATGTTTCAGGCAGGCTGATGGGGCTCATGGGTCAGATGGGGCTGATGGGGCTCANGCTCATGGGTCAGATGGGGCTGATGGGGCTCATGTTTCAGGCAGGCTGATGGGGCTCATGGGTCAGATGGGGCTGATGGGGCTCATGTTTCAGGCGGGCTGATGGGGCTGACAGGTCAGAGGGTTGGTGTCAGTTAACCCTCTCTGTTTTTCTTCTCTTGGTCCAGGCTGCAGGGAGGATGGTGGAGTACCTGGTTGCTCTTGGGAGCAGCAGAATATTAAAGTCTTTTGTGATCCGTCACATCGTCTCAGAGATCAGCAGTGTGGCAGATCAGCTCTTGCAGGCCTCCCAGGTAAAAACCTCTCCATTTTTGTTCTGAATGTCTGTTTTTGATTTCTGGCTCCTGAACAGTTGGTGCCTTTGTTGCCTGCTTCTTTTGTGGCGTCTGATAAGCTGCACCTTGCCTCTGCGGTGCTCCAAAAACACTTTTTCTGATGGTCCTTTTGAAATATTTTGACTTTATAATTTTGTCTCTCACACTGCCCGGCTTTGTTTCTGTTTTTTTTTTTGTCTTTGTCCCCCGCAGACAGCATTTCTGTGTCTCAAATATTTTCATCTGACCTGCTGGCTCCTGAAGAGCCCCCTTTGTGTTTGGCTTCAGGTGCAAACTGTTTGCCCTTTAGACTTTTTGCCCCGGTCACTTCTGAACCACAGTAATCAATAGTGCTTCCCACCGCTTCTCCTTCCTGCCGTTTATTCAAACGTCTCCTGGTAACTTCAGTCGCTCCTTGAGTCATAGGCCAGCCAGGCGCTGTTTTTGTCCAATCTGCTTCCTGTGAAAGGCAGAGCTAAGTGTCAGAGCTGCGGGGGTCCTTCCAAATGGAAATGTGTTAAAAACAAAAAGGGTACAGGTGATATTTTACCCCTTCACCTTTCACGCTGGGCCTGCCTCCCACTCTGACAGGTGGCTCAGTCTGAGCCTCGTGTTCCTGCTCCTGCAGAAACACTCCAGTCAAGCTGCTCCAAGACTCTTTGCTTCTACAGTCAGGAGAATCAACCCACCCCGAAGCCATTAGTGTGGAATAATCCACATGGCAGAATATTCTGGGCTGCTGGAGCTGTTTTATCTTCTGCAGCAGCAGAAACTGAAGGAGTCGATGTTCTGCGATAATAAAATCTCTAGTGTTGTGTTCAGGAGTGAGCTGGCATTTAGCTCAAGTTTCTGAAGTTAGAATGTCAGCTGAACTCCTGATTAAACTGAAAACCAGCACAGAGACCTCAAACACTGTAAAACTGAAGAACTGAACTGCTTCACCTCTGTTTCGGTTCACATTAGAGCTGTGCCTCACCATTATTGTTTCTCTTATGACCCTTTTCCACTAGTGCCTCTCCAGCACAGTTTGACTTGGATCAGCTTTGTTCAGCACTTTATGGGTAATTTTTTTTCATTACACTTCAGGAGCAGCTCTAGTAGGTGGGTTCATTGTAAGGTTGGGTAGTCCTCTCCCATGCTAACAACAGCATATCTATGCTAGTCGCTAGTGTCTTCAGTGCTAATGCCAGCTTATGCTTGCGACTAGCCTCTCTGATGCTAACCCCAGCTTATACCTGTGTTTACATGCACAAAATTTTTTGATAGGATTGAAACGTATTCGGATTAAATAATCCAAATGTCCTATTTACATGGACACAATCCGATCATGAAAAGTGTTTACATGCACAGGACTTTTATTCAGAATGAAAGTCCGGACATGCGCAGTGTTCTAAACTCTACTTCTGTGTTACAACTGTAAATAAAGCTCTGCTGTGCGCTCAGGAGGGACCCATGTCAGCTTTTAATAACGGTAGAGACGTCGTTACTCCTCGGTTGAGCTGCAGATGAAGCAATACGTGTTTTTTTTTTGCGAAGCAACATCTGCTGTTTGTCTCCTTTTTCAACTGTTAAGAGAGCGCCAACTTCCTCTAAAGAGCAGAACCGGATGAATGAAAGTCAGAAGACATGCGCACACAGGTCAGTTTTCTACATTCAGAAAAAGATGGTCCGATTAAGTGTTTACATGCACGTCATTCAGATCATCAATCGGCATAACCCACCCCTTTCATTCGGATTAAAAATTCATTCGGATCAAGCTCAATTGGATCAGAATAATCCAAATGGGCTGTTTACATGACGCGTTTTTATTCCGAACGGCCATTTAATCTGATTACTTATGTCCATGTAAACGTAGCTCATGTTAGTCACTAGCCTCTCCAATGCTAAAACCAGCTTATCCATGCTAGTTGCTAGCCTCTTTGATGCTAACACAAATGAATAGTCTCCTTCTCATTTGCCAGTTCCAGCCTCTCAGTTAGCAGGACCAGCTGCTCAGTTAGTGGTGCTGGCCTATCATAAATCAGATCAATAACTGGCTTAGGAATAGATATAGACCCCTGCTACAAGGATTTAGCAACCACTGGTTGAGAATAGTCCTTTTTTTGCCCCTCATACCACACCATAGTTTAGCTCCTGTACACACCACACCTGCTCACACCTGACAGTGTCTCGCTGTTATCCAGTCTCATAATCAGTTCTCAAAGCAAATTAAAATACTAACCTTAAAGGTGCAGTATGTAACTTTTCTAAAAATGTATTTTTTACATATTTTTTCATTCTGTCACTATCTCCTGAC